AGAAGACAAGAAAACCAGGGAAAGTTTGGAATGTGTCAGAGACTGGTGTTAAATGGTGGTGACCGGAATGCTTATGGAAATATGGACTGTAAAGACCATTCTAAGGAGGTCTCTGGTGTACATGAGAAGGGACTTATTAGAAACTGGGGCAAAGATCACCCTTGCTACGAACTGGCAGGGAACTTGGCTGCATTCTGTTCATACCCAACAGCTTTAAGGAATGTGGAACTTAAAGGTGCTGACCCTGGGAATTTGACCCACTTTCAGCCTGGCCATGTTGGCGGAGAAGCAGACAGCATTTTCAGGAGAAAAATGCAGTGGTGCAGCCCAGTGACCGTTTGCTAAGGAGATGAGTACAGAAGAAAGGGGTTATGAAGAGAAGGGGAAAAAGACCTTGAAGGCATTTTGCTGTGTCTTCCGTTTCAGGCCCAGAGGCCTAGGGAGACAGGATTGGTCTTGGGTGGGGATCACGCCTGAGGCACCCTCCACAGTCTTGCTCCCCAGGGCCACCTCGGGAAGCTGCTTCCAGCACTCCCACTGCTTTGGCTGCTCTAGCTGTGGCTAAATTGGCCCAGGTGTGGCTGGACCCACAGCTTTGGAAGATACAAACCGGAAGCCTTGGTGGTATCCATGTGGTGTTAGGTCTGGAGGCTTGCAGAATGCCAGAGCTGGGAAGCCTTGGGAGCCTCCACCCTGATTTCAAAGGATGTATGAAAGCCTGGGGACCCAGGAAGAGATCTGTTGTAGGGGCAGTGTCACCACAGACCACCTTCACTAGAGCAATGTCAAGCAGAAACATGGGGTCAGAGTTGCGGCAGAGAAATCCCAACAATGCCATGCCTAGTGGAGATGTGAGAGCGGGATTGCCATGGAGACCCCAGAATTAGCTATAGCCAATTAGATTAGCTAGTGGAGCTACCAGCATGCAACACCTGCCTGGGAGACCTGGAGTGTGGCCTGAGACCAGGAAAGCCATAGCAGCAGAGCTGCCCAAAGACTTGGGGACCCAACCCCCACACCAGTGTGCAGAGGACGTCAAAGGTGGTGTCAAGGTACATGATTCGCCAGTTTTGAGATTTAATGCCTGCCCTGCTGGGTTTCAGACTTGCTTAAGACCTGTTACCCCTTCCTTTTGGCCTATTTCTTCTTCTTCTTTTTTTTTTTTTTTTCCTTTTTGTCTTTTTTCGTGTCCGGCAATGGATTGCAACCCTCACTGTCGCACCCGTACCGGACCGGGACCGGCAATGGGATCGCAACACTCGGTGTTGCGTCCGCACCTCGCTCAGCCAGTGAGCGGGAACTGGTCCCCACATGGGATCCGAACCCTCGGCGGGAGCGCCGCCGCGCTCCCAAGCGGCGCACTGTAGCAGTGCACCACCGGGCCGGCCCTATTTCTTCTTTTTTGA